TAAATATGGTGTTAACCTAAATATATTATTTTACCATATATTATTTCAAAATTTAGAGTATCAGGCTTTCGGACTATTGATTCTTCAGAATTCTAACTGGCGAACTTTCGGTCTTCACTTTCCGCAGCAGAAAAGTTTGTCTCTGGTTATGACGTCATCATGACACAGCTAATTCAATACATGCCAATGCCTATTTTAAGTACGACAGCTTAAAAGCTCTTGAATGCCGAAATTCACCTTGTTCCGCCTTATTTTCACTTCTGCAGAAGTAGATTGTTCCGCCTTATTTTCACTTCTGCAGAAGTAGATTCGGCCATTATGAATGAACTGTAGTTCTCTCTATAGTGATTTATACAGACGAAACCTAGTTGGTAGTCCCATGTGTACTTGTAATCAGTCTGCTGAAACTACCGAACACTTCCTCCTTTTCTGTCCGAAATACCAACAATTAAGAGTACAATGCTTCAGAAGCCTTCCCCCCTACTATAATGTAAATCTTCTTCTGTACGAAAATCCTGATATGCCAGTTTTAAAAATATAATGAGAATATTTTCGACTGTGTCCAACATTTCATTATCCAGTCGAACGATTTTTAGTTTGAAGTTCTCAATTTTCATTACACGTATGATTACATGTGGTACATAATGGGACTCTTACATATACAAACCGTCAAAGTCTTGTTTGATGATAATTTTAATATTTTGAATTACACCAAATTGTTGTTCGCCACAGGATGTCGGAATACTCAGGGGTCGGAATGGAAAGTTTTCATTATATACAATTAATCTATTGTGTGTTGAATACCTCAGTGACATGCACAGTTCTCGACATGTGTCCATATCCAAAATATACTCCAATCAGTTTTTCCTCCCATAATGCAGGAAATGTTCTGTACTCCCCCATATATTTTACCGCCAACAATACTTTATTTAAACCCGTTTGCACCTCTTTCCCTTCTTCCTCTCCCATCCTCTTCTCTTCCATATGCTTATATCTATATGCATAATATTCGTCAGTGCCTTATGTTAATCCGTCTCCTTTGTATGTAAAACGGCGATTGGACGAATCGCCGTTTTACATACAAAGGAGACGGATTAACATAAGTACTTTGTACTTGTTTTCGAATCCTATATGTATATCATGTTTGCATTACTGTAATATCATACCGATAATAAAATGAAATTTAAATTAAGTACGACAGATTTCTGGTGAAAGGCTTCAGGGTTTCCTACCGGAGATACTTCAAGCTACACTGATGATTTTTTACGGTTATCATTACGTCAAATTATGTTATTCAAGTGGCCATTTGTTAACTTTATGTATTGATTGATGGAGACCCAATGAAATACTAGATTTGACGGGATGAAAATCGTAGTAGATCCCACATGTGGTGCTGGAAGCTCTTTTCATTCAAGTTCCGGAATACCCGGTTTCGCTTCCGGTTTTTGGTTTACAATTTTAGAATGTGTGTTTTTCAATGGATTTGTTGCAGTCTTCCATCTATAGCTCGCCGGGTGATTTATTTTGCTTTGTACTGACCTGTTTTATTGCGGTTGTTTTTTCCTGTTTTTTTTTTTAAGATTGTAAAATCCCAGACCAAGCATGTTTTATTTCGAGGAGATTAAAAGGAGCTATGACTTCAGAATAGCGGGCTGTACCCGAATTCAAATAATGAAAAGAAACTTTTTATTGACCGTTGGACAAAATAATCCCTCATTGCTGATGGTGTGTTAGGTCCAACCGATCTAGCGGGCATTGTTAGCTTTTAAACAGTTAAAAAAAATATTATTTGAAATTATTTCTTTCACTCTTGATAAAATATATGAAATCTGTAAATTAAAAAAACATCACAAGTATAATTTACTTCAGGGTGAGATTGGCAATGGTGTAAAGCCTTTTGTATTATATACATAACTACATTTAGAATAGGGAAACAAGCACGGTTTCATTTTGAATTTTTCGATTATAACGGCCCCTTCTGGGAACTTTTCAGACACGTAAACCGATATCAATGGGAATACCGGTGTCCGCTATTGTACTTCCAGTTGGAGTGGGTACTCGACATACAATCAAACGGCCGTCTGCATTAGCACAAAGTAATTTCATTTGTATTGATATCAGAGAAAATGACAGGCCTGGCGAAACGAGCTGACCCCTCTTTGTGACCCCTTGCCGTGACCACTGCTTTGGCCTTGGCAAAAGATTATATGATCAGCGCGACAGAAGCTGAGATGACCGTGGGAGGGGGGTAATTCAAGACAAGGGATAAGGGTTATCTCCGATAATCGAACGAAGTCAAGTCACGTGACAGCTAATGTCACCTGAGTGCCAAACGTCATCCCCCTATCATGCACCCTCCCCGTGACGTCACATAAGGGACCGTTATGACTTAATGTAGCCCTAATTAGGACATGCAATTACAACAAGGTCGAAGTGTCAAGGTCAACTGTCAGAAATAGACACGGGTCATTTGGTCAAGAGTATAAACGGTCAATGACAATTTTACGATGTTATCGTTCACGTTGTAAGGTTTATTTGATTATTTACACGTGATAAAGTGGTATTTGTGGGGCAATTATTGACGATCATTGTAGCCAAAACATAATAAAACGATAAAAAGTTGATGACACAACAATGAAATTGAAGTTAACCTCACTTAGCAGATACTTTGTAATATGTGTTCCCTGTAAATAACTTTGTGGCATTATTAAAGAGAAATTTGTTATTGCTTTCTCCCTAATCGTTTTCCATGTATATGACATAAAAATAATAAACTATTAAAAATTACACAATGAAAGATTGATATACATCTGAAGTTATTAAACAATTATAACAATAGAACCCTCATCAGAATAAGAATAGCTGACAAACTAACAAGTAAAAACGTTTTTTCTAATAATATTAAAATTAAAAAATGCTTCGTTTTTTTCTGCATTTTGTTTGTTCTATAAAAATCGATTTTGTTACCAGGAATGTAGCTAGCCATAGTTTTGTGTGGATTCATTCAGAAGCGGGTCCAGGGCAGGGCCTTGGTAGGATCACAAGGAGGTACAACAAGCAGTTATTTTTTTGTCATCTGTTTGAAAATTTGGTGGATTTCCCTGCATACCAGTGTAAAGGAAGCTGTTCATTTTTACCGAAATTTATCGACATATAATCTTGTGAATTAACCATAGTATATATAGATATAGTGTACAAAACCATCTAGTTCAAACCTACATTAGAATAGTAAGAGATCAGTAGTAAATTGATGGCTGTTATCGTGTCATCACTCTTTCTTCTTTCTTTCTCTTCCTTTCCTCTTTGTTCATATATATTTTTGATAAATATATCTGTTGTTGTTTTCACGAATTTATATGATGAAATGTATTGGAGAAGACGTTTCTAAGTTTAGATAACTTGTGCCAAATCCTTTTTGTTGATTGACAAATAAAGTATGTTTTAATCAATATAACACCAAATTATTATTTGTTCCGGATTGTTGAAAATAAAATCTAAAAAAATACAAAAACAAGAGGAGATAGTTGATCAAGAAATTGCTTGTAAACAGGTCTCTGGTTAAAAACCGTTATAAAACTGTTAATAATTTGCTATAGGAACAGAAATGTGTGAATCGTTTAAACTAATTCGAATTTTATGCTAATGAGGTGTGTTTCTACCCCACAGGTGAGTCACAGTATGTATTCCAGGTGTGACGGTACGTCATCACATGAGTGACGGGATGCTGCGTCATCATCACACCTGGCGCTAGTGGCACGTGCCCACAGTGTACCTGGTCTCCTTAGGTATGACAAAGGTCATGGCAGATGTTCACCTAACGAGACCAATTACAGAACCCGTTGTACTGACCGTTATAATAAATATTTCTTTAAATAAAGAACGAATAACAAAGTTTCAAATAAATTTTGAAATAAATTGACTTTTCTAAGTAAGAAAGATAATGAACTTTGTTAATATGACTTCTAATGTCGTACTGCATTCAACCAGTGAAGGGAATTTGTGCTTTTCCGTGTGTCATTATGTTCGTGTTTGGCCAGACAGAATGCTGTAGCTATATGAGCAGGTGTCCCTCTTCACAAAATCATAACAAACACACTAGACCGTTATCACGTTAAGTGATCTGTCAAGGGTTTCAAAATACTCGATATTCAGTCAAAAAAGAACAAAGAGGTATTTTTATATTTTTTTCTTTGTTAATATCGGAAACGGAATATATCTATAAAAACAACAACACATATATTGATAGGAGCAGAAATAGGAATAAACATTTCAAAAATTCCTATATTTATCGTCCAAATACAGTGATCAGAAAATTGAATTACTTAAAAAGGAGGAACAATTGAAAACGTGCATTTTTTAATAAAAAAAATGAGACTCATTTTGCAGGGAAAATATTCTTGCAAAAAATCGGACATAAGAAAACCGATTTATGCTATTCAACATTGGAAGTGTATAATCACGGATATTATATAATACATCGACTCGTGATTTCAACAATAATTCACTTGAGAAACAAAATCACATCAAAAGATGTGAAACGTTTGTAAATTAAGACAAGACAAAGATCGAACATGAAAGATTAAAATGTTAACGACTATACATATTAATAATCTTGGCAACAATGACATTTTAACAATGTCAACTGTGACTTTTATATGCACGTAATGCTTTTAACTCGTCAAATAATCCAGCTTTCGTATAAGCCAATTAGAAATATGCTTTCTTTGTTAACTCTGAGAGTCGGTACCAAACCCGTTAATTCGTACAATATTTAATTAAGCCTGTGTAGTCCATTAACTTCAAAAGCGCCGACGGACCACCTAATGCTTAAAAACGAAGAATTCTGGTCTATACAATACGATATTGATTTCTTAGTTAGATTACGACAATAGAGAAACAGACTATAAGCGTGTGAAATCGGGAGAGTGTGAACAACGTACGTTATTTGAATCGAGGGTTGTGATTGGCTGATTTGGTCATGTGATCGTCTGACCCGCCAAATCTCAAAAGGGATCAGGAAGCGTGCCTACGTCTTCATATATTTACAGTTGTGATAGGTAAACAGTTATCATTCACGGGATATACATCGCACAAAAACACATTGGTGGTTTAAAAGAAGAAACATGTTTACGAAAGGACGGCGATCGGCCTTAAAGAGAAGGGATGAAAATATTATTCGGACGTTAACTTATCATGATTCTGACGAAGGTGAGCTTAGCCCCAGTGATGGCGATTTTGTGCGGTGTGGCAATTTGTTTTCGCCTTGTCGATATAAATCTAGTAGGATTGACGAACAGCCTTCGGAATTTATTGAAATCGATTTACCATCTTCACCAATGTCTAGTCCAAGATCATCAAGAAACGTTATTAGGCATATGAAACGATCACCTATTCAGTTTACACTCGACGAAGGAAATGAGGGCGATGTTGACGACGACGAGCAGAGGGTCCCAGCACCTGGAACGGCCATTGAATCGCCATGTCCGAACTCTCCACCACATAACAGATTACGTGCTCTTAGACTTTTCGATACACCACATACGCCAAAATCATTACTTCAAAAAGCCAGGAGACGACGATTAACGGATGAACGAATTGCAAAAGAGAGAAAAAGACTAACGCCACCCTCGGAAAATCGTGTGGAAGCGAATTTCAACCCATTCACGCCAAATAACAACAGACCATTGACTTTAAATAACTCCATGAAACGCAACAGAAACCAGATGGAAAGGTAAAGCTCAGAAATTCATATAAGCTGATTTCACCTACGTATTCTAAAATTAACTATGACTCAGAGTGATGATTCACGATTTACAACTATGCAACATTTAAATATTTGAATATTTGTATTACAATTTACATGCTATCTATCTTAAAAATGATATAAATGGAAGTCAGTGTATATACAATGAAGTAATTTATATGTGACATGTTACTGTGCATTTAGTCAATGTTCCATGTAAAACAAAATAACGTCTTTAATATCGACCAAAATCGATATATCAACAAACTGAGTCTATCACACAGCTGCTGATGATTAAATATTTATTTTCATTTCAAGGGGATAATTTACAGTTTTCAACAGGTGGTTCATTGGTGGGAAAGTTTAAAAAACATATGAAAATGACATTATTTCATATATTGAGTGTATTATTGCACTTTAATATATTCTATCTTGATTTCATTCTGTTACTATTCAGGTTTCCTGAAGTTCAGTCAATGAACTCCTATTTTCCCATGTTAATATTCAATGTCCCTAATGGTATTTTGTCATTGTCTTGACCCTGGTTGTTAAAATGATTTTTAAACCCGATAGAATATTTACACCTTTTTTTAAACAAATTAAACAGAATAAATGAAAATGTCTGGCCTTAGTGGGATTGGAATAGATTTTAAGGTTTAAAATTTTATGTACCAGCAATTGTAATGGGATCATATAATTAACATGTTTGGAAACTGTTGATTTTATATCAAAAAGAACAGCCCAAATCCTGATATATGTAATGAAGAATAAGAAACTACAACACGAGGATCTCAATATCAAACTTTTTTGCACAGCTTGAACAGTAATAATTGCCTAAAATATGCATAAATTCCCTCGACAGACCATTCATGATTTGGCCAAATTTGTGTCAAATGAAAAAAAAAATGATGTTATCAGAAACAAACAAATCAATGTCTTTTTATGTAAAAGGACAATTTTATTTTATTTTTCCTGAAAAGTTGGAAATAGACTTTCGCCTTGTTAAGTAATAAAGGCAAAATGACAGGAGGGAAAGTTAACTATGCAAACAGAAACAAAGCTTGGGAAGTAAACAGTAAACATTTTATGGTTGACATGGAGATTAGGTGGGGACAGCACAGCACCACTAATTACGTAATGGTAGATTATAGAACAGTAATTTTACTGTCTCATAGTCTGACATCTGTAGAAAATTCCTAAACCAAGCTGATAAAATGTTGGACAAGGATTAAATAAGATATCGGTAGATACAGTTAAACCATGACAACAACGGCCATTGAAGTCTGGTGATGTTGATGATGCCGACTTTTTAGTAACTTCTAGACCAAATGACATTTTAATCTGCTAACTTTTGTAAAATTTCATACACGATATATATAAGAAAACATTGATTTGAACAGTTCAAAATCAGAGCTGAACCTGTCATTTTGACCTGCTTCCTGTGCTTAATAGTTTCCCTGTACATGTGGTGCTATGAAAGTTGTTGAGTGATTGTATATAAATGTAATATGGTTTATTTTTCAGAAGTATATTGGATGACTCGACAGAAGATGAAATTGAAGTTGACATGCCCTCAACAAAAGTAAGTTATCCCTTATGAATGAAGCAGAGATTTAGGTAACAGCAATCTGAGAAGTGACATATCAATAATATTCTTTCAATATTGTCAAATTATTGAACGAAAACATTATAATTCAAGTTCATGTAAAAATATCTTTGAGTGTCTTTCGGCCCGGTTAAAATATATTCGAAAACAGAAAGAACCATCATAGAAATTTAACTGAAAAACTATACAGATTTAGATATTTATACCAGTTTAATATTGAAAACATACTAAACAACTTTCCTCTCTCAACAGAAAATTGCATTACATGAGATAAACACGTCCCGGTACAATGAGGAGTTCCATGAAGTGTGTAAGCTTGGTGATGGAGAGTTCGGCAGTGTCTACAAATGCGTTCATCGACTGGACGGTTGTACTTATGCCATCAAGAAGTCTAAGATGCCTGTCGCTGGAAGTGTATACGAGTAAGTTCTAACTTAACTGCCATGAAATGAAGGCACATGACAAATGTCAACAAAATCATCAAGGATTGATGGATAACTGTCAACTTGTAAATTGGTTACACAAGTATACGAAAAGAAAACGTTCAATTATCTCGTGTTTTGCTTATGTTTTTGCAGACAAGTCGTTCGATTTCCAATTTACCATTTTCATTAAAATCATACTCAGATTTCTCCAGTTCTAAACCTGTCATATTTGTTGGTTCCTGTAAACTTTTCCAGACTTGCTAGATGTACTCTGCAAGGTTTAAAAAATCAAGACAAGAAAGAAATTTATGTTCTAAAGAATGCTTTGTTTTATGTACAGGAGGAATGCAATGAACGAGGTGTACGCCCATGCGGTATTGGGGAAACATCAGCATGTTGTGCGGTACTACTCAGCTTGGGCAGAAGAGGACCACATGTACATACAAAACGAGTACTGTAATGGTGAGTAATGAGCAAATCAGTTCAGATCTATGAAGTTATATTCAGTGTTCACAAAATGGATAAAGTTCTGAGAATTATACTATTAACTCATTTATCCCAGAAAACACATTTGAATTTCCATTTCAAAGGTTTTAATAGTTCATAATGAAATTTCAGGGATGAATGAACAAAATGTAAAAGAACACCTTTTTAGATATTTTGGATCACCTGCATCTTTTTGCTTTGATTTTTATAAGAAAATTATAAGAGTCACTACAAAAAATATTTAGGACTTTGTTCTAAATTGTGGAGAAATACTGGCAAAAAATCTCAAAATGTTCTTGTCCATGAATTGAAAATGAAATATTTGACCTGTTTTGCAATATATGTTAAATTGTTCATTTAATAACATCTTGTTCAGACATCCCATATCAGGGAGATTTTTGATGAAGTTCACTTGTTAAATTAAGTAGTGTATTTACTGTATGTCTTGAAAACTATATGGAAGAATGACCCATTTTTAATTGACTGAAACACATATCAAACGGGCAATATGATAAAGCTAGAGTAGTTCCAATTTAATGGCATTCACAATATTCTTGTTCTAGGTGGCAGTCTGGCAGAGGTGGTGGAAGAAGATAAGCGGACAGGAAGAGTGATGAGCGAGTCTGAACTGAAGACCATTATGTACCAGGCTGTCCTAGGCCTCAAGTACATTCACTCCCAGAACCTGGTGCATCTGGACATAAAGCCTGGCAACATCTTCATCCACAGAAACCCAAAGTTCCTACAGTCCCCTGAGAGTGGCATGGAGTCATGTGGAGAGGAGGACGAAGAGGAGGAGGAGGCAATCATATACAAAATTGGTATGTTCATCTCAACTTTAACTCTTGACATTAACCCCTGAAGTCACATTTGAACTCTTCCAATATCAAGGCTGGAATAGTACATTATGAAATTTCTGGGGTGAATGACTTAGAATACATAATAGGATATTACAAGTATATGTGAATTGTTCAGTTGTAGACTGTTAAACATATTTTTCTAAAACAAAATTATATGTGACTATTTAGGTGCCCTAAACTTGCGGAATTTTATCTATCTATCTTATAGCGAGTTATTTCCTATCAAATTCTGAAAAGATGTGCGTAATGCTATGTAAAATGAATGAATTTTAAATTTTCACAAATGTGAGCATTTGATTCACAACTCCAGGGTAGACTATAATTGTATATACATTATGTATTACAGGTGACTTAGGCCATGTGACGTCCGTGACCAACCCCACAGTGGAGGATGGAGACTGCCATTACCTCCCAAAAGAAATCCTCAGTGAAAACTTTGACCACCTGTCAAAATGTGATGTGTTTTCTCTGGGTCTGACCATGTACGAGGCAGGTGGTGGACACAACCTACCCCGCAATGGCCCACAGTGGCACAGTATTCGTGAGGGAAAACTTCCCAGTCTACCACACATGTCACCTGAACTCAACCAACTCCTCAAGGTAATTATTGCTAGATATCTGTTTCTCATTCAAAAAAAAAATCAAACCTTATGAATTTAAAATACATTCTAAACATTGGCCAAATAAAAATAAAGGAGTTAAATGCAAACTCTAAAATTCTTATGAAATATTTAAAAACATTGTTCTTTCAAGAATATGTGTAAAAGACCAATGACAAGAAATGTTAAATATCAAGTTGGTTTAATTACAAAGGTTTGTTTGTAGGGAAGCTAAATAAGTGAAATAACATTTTCCGTCAGAAATGTGTTAATTTTTGAATGCCTGCTATTGCTTCAATTACAATATAAACTTGTTTTACAGAGCATGGTTGACCCTGATCCTCTGAAGCGACCAAGTGCAGCAGCTGTAGCCTCCAGTCTCATCCTGTGTCCACAATCCACCAAGTCACGAGCACAACTTCGACGGGAACTCAACGAAGAACGCTTCAAAAACCAGATGCTCTCAAGGTATGTTTCATTTCTGGGTTCATCAGACCTCGTGTCAATACTAGACAGGAAGAAAAGGGGGAAAAAAATGTTTTAATCAATGCCCGGTGATATGTCATCTTCAGTTTTTTTTAACGTTCTAAACATAAAACCAAATATTAATTTGTTTCAATTGATAAGACTGTAATATAAGTGGTACTCAAAATCATTTCTAGAATATTTTACTTCAGACTAATAAATCTCTTATTTATACAGAGAATTGACTTTGTGATCCGGTTTACAGAACAGTTCTCTCCTTACTAGAAACTTTCAGAAAAGATTTTACTGGGCATGTTCTGATATAGAATATTTTGTTTTACAGAAAACTTGTTGAAGCCACACAGTGTCTCACGAGAATCACACCTACAAGTTTCTCCGCCAACGTAAGCAGAAGTCGTCGTCTGGTCGGCAACAAGATGAAGAGGAGCATGAGTTTGTCTGCATTCTAATCGCGAGAGAAATGAAAAAAAAAGTGCAAAATATTTGTGTAGTTATCCTGCATGGAAACTTAATATATACTGTGTACATACCAATAATTCTGTACAGCCACCCGGCCTAGTCGGGTAGGAAGGAACTCATATAGTGCACTAAATAATGTATGATAACCAATGACTGAAGCGGGACTTCTGTTTGTGATATATGTGACGATAACGCGAGAAGTGTAACTTCTATACTATTGTGATATGACTTGGAGGTATGGCGATGAGGGGAAGATTTGCAAACGCGGACACTGTGGGAGGGGTGGGGACAGATTCGATGCATGTATGCATTTTTCATATAGAAACAGTTTTGTGAAATCTGTTTCTTTGTTTCTATACAACAATTTTCAGCACTGTACGTTACACTGCCTATCTTAGTCATGCTGCGTTTTGATTTTTTTTCTGTAATCTATAAATATGTCGTAATTATCGATTCAAGGTATAGGCCAAGCTAAAAATATCTGTCCAATCTGAAACTATCCAGATTCATATTATATGTCAACCTTTCTTACTTTTTTTGGTTATTAATAAAAAGAACTTACAAATAAACTGTCATTGCAAACTATTATTTTGTAGAAGTAAAATAAGTGTATTCACTATGATGTACCGGTATTTGACATTTGTTTATGCGTCCTAAAATTAAAAGATTGGAACAGAGAAAGGAACATTTTTTCACCTGGTCTTATGCCCGACAATTTGTTAAATGTGTTTCATTCATATCATCATGCTTACACTCAATTTGTTGACGTATCATATGTGGATAAAAAAGGAATTGTATTACAAGCAAGTGGTTTATATACTTCTTTGTTTTACAAAATTATTTACATTTTATTATGAAAATGCTAATTGATTGTCTAAAACACCAACATCTGAAAATGGTTGAACCTACTGTATGGGCATTACAAAATTTTAATATTGTTTGGCACCTTTGGTTGATTTAAATCGCTAGAAAAACGTAAACATAAAATACTGTTTCATCCCGTCCTGACAACTATATTTGTAGTAGCTGTTTTATCAGCATTGCTCTCAATAAAAAGAACTTGACTTTGTAGCATGTACATTAAATTTATTGAAAGATCATTTTTTGGGGAGAGGTGGAATTTCATTTTTCAACCTGGCCAAATGGTATTTTCTTATTTTTAAAGGACACAAATCTACTACAAGGTCCAAATTTGATAGTTCAAATTTTGCTAAATGACACTTTTTCGGCATTGGTTTTGTCAAATCAAATAAGTTTAGATTCTAATGGTGTAGAAAATTTTGATTGAAAGCGCTTCTAAAGATCTGTATCGGTTTGCTGATACTTTTGTTTCATGAGAGGGTACAAGTATAAAAATCTGACATAACAGTTGTGGTAATAATTTTCTATGATATTGCACGTGTACATACTAATTAGTGTCTCACATGTAGCAATTTTATAACTTCACATCTCTCACATTTTTGTAAAATGATACTGGATGCAGAAACATTTATTGATTGATTTCTTTGTGTTTTCATGCATGTTTGAATAATAATGTTCTGCTTCTTAAACAATTGGATTAATTTCTACGACTAACACAAATGTGTAACAACTATTGGATAATTATAATTATGACAGATTTGCTTGTGGAGAAAAATACTACAATTTTTGTTGTAAATATTTACCTTTAGAGTATCCACCATTGATCATCTTATAATTTTATACAATCAATAATAATGCTATTGCTGTATATTGTAATCTTTTATATCATTTCAGGTTTAATAATGGCCAGTTAGTATCCCTGTTATTATGTAGATCAAAGTATTATCTTGCCTTTATTTAAATTAGTGTCTTTTCCTCCACAAGTAAAACTGCTATTTTCCTTGGATTGTTTTCTTACTGTTTCTGTGTACTGAATCACAATCTTTTCTGTCAAAATTATCAAGGTGCTGAATGTAACTTTTACAAAATAAAATTTTAATCTTAGTTTGAATTGAGTTGTCTTATTTGGAGAGTTGTTAGAAATAATTTTGAGTGACTGGAAACTTGCAACTACAGTTTAATATTTGCTCATGAAATGAAAACAAACTGGAGATATGTACTTGATTTTCATCAACTTATCATTAATGGTTGAAAACATTACCTTATTTGACCTACAAACGACCTAATTAAATATGGTCTACTACACAATTTTATTAAGATATTCCAAGATGGTTTAAAATTTACAGCCCTGACTAGCCAAGATTTACTGAATATTTTGCACTTATTTGACCTTTATTCCAGTGCACTTCACATCTATTTGGTGATGCTGCAGGTATACCTCATGTTTCATCTTCAGTATCTTGTATGGCTTTAACGTCGCAGTCTCGACTAGATTTAGATTATACATTAAAAGATCTACATGAAGTACCAATATAATGTCTCCCTTCATTTGAAGGAGAGATAACAATTTGACTACAAAACCTTGTGTGTGGCATATCTTGTGTGTATACTCATCATCACCAATTGTTACCTGGAACATGTACTAAATTTTGAAAACAAGTACCTCTTGGGATGGTAGGGTGACGCATACAGATTTTGGGTTTGAGTAAGCAAAGTTGTCCATTTTGAAGCCAAGGGATGTTACAACAAAGTTTTTATCCCAACTTTCTTATCAAGATTTTTTTCATCTGGATTCCTTAAAAATTGTACAGCATGCTAAAGTTTATATTCAACAGCATAACAAAGAACAATAGACAAGACAGGTAATTGAAAACAAATTTTATTGTCTCAAATAATAACTGATTACTCTGCGGCATTACATAAAATATAGTTGTGTTTTACTAAAAACAGAAAATTGTGTTATTGCAGACTTTCATGAAAAAGACTTTTGAGGTTTCACTGCATAAAATGTATCTTTATTATATTACAGAAATGTGTAAAATTCTCACGTTTCAGACTTCTTAGCTTAAACAGACCATTGAATAAATGCGAGATTCTTGTTAATAATAACCAGATTACCTCCCTTGACTTTGTTTACAGAATGACTGCTTAAAGAAAAAGCCTGGTGAGCCTTTTAATGTTAACATATGCCTTGAAAGCCCTAGCAAAGCTTTGAGTCAGCAACATCAGGTCTGTCTCTATTCAATACATCAACACATGTAAAATATTCCACTTACATTTTCTGATAATTTTTAAATGGCTGGATATGTAGAAACGAAATAAATGCATCAAAATGGACACACTAGGTAAAAAAAATACTGCCAAGTTCAATTTCGATTACTGGTACATTGTACTATTTTGGTAAAGGGAAGTTATTTGGTAAGATAATACAATTGTTTCGTTATAAATGATTTCATTGTACAACAGTATTTTTCTAAATTTTATAGCACATGACCACACTTATCAGTCTATTTATAAGACACCAGGACATTAATTATTGCACGCAGTAACTAAATAATTAAATGTCAAAAGCTATTGCATATATATCTATAGGAATTTTCAGTCTCGCCAGTAAATCACCTAACTGGTTTACTTTCTGCACCGCCTCACACCCATCAATCACAGCACTGTCACATGACAATCACGTGACAAAAATTGTACATAAAAATTGATCATCAATTAAGAACACACAATTATTAAATAAATGTATACATGAATTAATATATTTCTGATAAAAATATCACAGTATTGATTATGAAAAAAACATTTTTGACATGTGAATCATAAAAGGTCTTCTCGGGCTTGTTAACCAAATTTAATTAAAGTAGCCAAGAACTTGACATGATATGTAGAATCAAATATCAATTGGAGTAAAAAGGACAAGTAAAGGATTAACACCTTTCATCCATTTATCACTTTTATTGATAGATATGTTGAAATGAATTGGAAAATATGAATGATTACATGAAATATATGTTAAGTTCACTACATGGTTACGACATTAATGACGATTATATGGTAGAAATACTTGCCAGAACACATTGAACTTACATCTTACATTTCTATACGATTTTTTATTTTCATAAATTTTTCTTTTTCTTTAGTATTTCTCTGTTAGTGATTGCACTTGAAAAGAATTCATGAACGACAAGAGGTAAAGATAACTTATGGATGATATTATGGTATTTCAATTCATAATGAATTACTGTATTAAAAAAAATCATAATCATGAAAATTTTTTAATTAATCACCAAAATTATTTACCTACTACTAGATGTCAGCATTAATTAACTTGATATCAGATCCTGATTTTATTTCATCTGTGAAACATAATTTTTCAATTAAAAATGAATCGAAGCCTGAAATCTTCAGGTATATAGTTGTCGCATAACATTTCTGTATTGTTTAATGCCCAAACAAAATCAAAAGAGGTTTACTTTGGTTGTGATCTGGACAAAGGGAGGTAAAAATTAATATTTGTCCCAGAAAACCAAGAAGAACTTGAAAAGTTTTAAACATTTTTGTTTGTTTTTGTAACATGCCGTTATGTTAGATCAATCTCTTCGAGGCAGAGACTAAATTCTAGTGTCCAAGTGACCTATTACCCAGAAGTTGAAACAAAGGACAATACTTTTCAATCTCGTTACAGGCAAAACCTGGATGTCTCAATCAACTTTCTATCACATTCTGAAGTTCTATCAAGCCACATTCTCGCAGACACATTCTCAGCAATTATATTCACCTTGCACATTAAATTTACCAGCAGTGGATTATGCGTGTCAATCAACAACTCCAGAGATATTTCAATACAAATCCACTGCAAATCACATGAATAAAAATAAATCCACAATTAAGTCATTCCAATTTGTCTTCATGAAGATGAATGATTCACAGGTAAAGCCATATTGTCACACAAAGATGCTTTCTCGTATAATCTAAATTTAAAATGACAACACTTGTAACGCAATCATAAATGGTTGAAAAACATTAACACGTAATAAAAATAGCTTCTCATGAGAGACAGCAAATCTAACCACTTGTATAAATACGAAAACATAACAAACAAGATGAGATGTTGCTACTATAGGACAGGGGCAGTCATCAGAGAGGTGGGTGGTCCATGTGTCGATAATCCGTGAACACCTGAATGGCCTGGCCTAGGGGTAGGAAGGACATGATAATGCTACACAAGGCCATGAAGAACACAAGCCCTGCTAGCGTCATCCTCAGCCTCTTGCCTGCGATCTCCCACTCTGGGACCATGTCCCATATTTTCTCCATAACAACCTCCTTGAATGTCCTACAAAAATACAAAGCCTTCTTTTACTTAATATGAAATGTAACATGAGTGCCAACACTTGGGCAGCATATTCCTCTGAAAAAACCCTGAACAAAATTTGTTATTTATATGTACAGCAATGATTTCATTGACCAGTATGAGCTAAGTGTGATATAGTTTGTTCTGGAGTCCAGATTAGGAAAATTCTATTTCAACAGCAATGACCTAGAATTATAAGGAAACAGATCAAAAGTCAATGGGGTTCAATGGGGAAGTAAGCATGCTGACAGCAAATGTAAGCATATGGACAGGCATTCCTTCAACATTTTTTTTTCAGAATCCCCCCCCCCCCCAAATAAAAATACATACTAGAAAGACCTATCAATATTGTAATATCTTTTATCACATCATTTGTTGGGTTGTTAGTGGACTAGAAAATGGCTGTAAGACATGAATGCCCCTGCCCCATGTGAAATTAGTTTCAGTGTTTGATGTATGACAGGATGGGATGGAAATGATATGGGCAACACTATATGCCCCCCATTTTATGGCGGTCATATGAAGATGGTCCAGCCTTGGGAGAGATCATCGATTCTGTTGGGTCCCCCACATAAGTTGCTACTTACAACATGCAGTGGGATACAACAGGTCTATTCTTTCCCTGAACCTGCACAGGGGTAATAACACTGTAAACGTATATACATTTTATCATATGTAAATGAGCACTGTCCATCCATTTTATGTGGTAACGTCAAGTTTCACCCCACTAATAAGACATGGAGCATCTTTAAATGTTTCCATGTTAAAGCGGCAAATCAAAGCAGCTGTATATGGTTAATGCTATGTTTCATCTCCCCCCACCCCTCCTCCCTTCATTAGTTTTATATTAATTTCATCTTTATTCACCTCTTTTATCTTTCAGACTGATGGTCATTTCAACATGAATTAAATTTAAAAGCATCATGTTGATAAAATAACATTGAGGCAAACTTTATAAAGCTGTATTTTGGTGTTGTCTTTTTAAGAGAGAGGTTGTTCTTTGACTTTTCTAGAATAGGAATGAGTGAAAAAAGCAAAAAAAGAGGGATTTCTGATCTTCAATATTTTTCTGTTTATCAAACTCCTTTGTAAGAAAAATCCCCCCAGATCCTGCGAAATAGTGGTATTTATTAATAACAAATTTAAATTGTCACATTCTAAGATAGCTGCAGTTGTATTTTTGCAATCAGTTCAAACAATGCTAGAACAATGACAAATCAGACAGAGCCCTGCATACGTGCTTGTGACTGATCTGTCATTCTTCAAGCATAAATTCATTTCAAACATTGAACCAATGGGAGAAATCCCTCTAGTACAAACTTGAGCTGTCAAATTCCATTCTAGCAGTTATGTTGTTCTCAGGAACAGACTCCGAAATTGAACAAGCATAAATATGGACTTAAGGTAAACTTTCCATCAGATTTGAAAAAATATCCTTTTAGTGTTTGTTGAGAAATTTGCAATACCCAACTTCATTATTCAAGATTGAACAGGCAGCCTTCTTGTTATTACAATCAGTTTCAAAACTGCAAAATGCTTTATAATGTTTAAACTCATTCACCCATGAAATTTCATTATGAACTGTTCCAACCTTTGAATTGGAAGGGTTCAAATTTGTCATCAGGGGAGAATGAGTTAAACATTAGACATGTAGGTTTCTATGTGAGTATGACCTCTGACCTTTCCTCCTCCTCGGGTGGACTGTCGTAAGTGTCCATCAGTTCCTCCAGATTCTGGTTGATGGAGTTCTGGTGTTCCCTCAGAGACGACAGCTCACGGCCCATCTGTGCCTTATAGCCCTGCTGGAACCTGTATTATACAGTGTCATTTAGTGTCGTTTGAGATAAAATAAATTCACAAAGACTGCAAGACAACAAGGTCTGATATTAATATCTTTTCATTTATCTCTGGTACAAATTGATAGGTAATTGTGTAACAGTTTTATCTCTGAAGTTCTACATAAGATATCTTTTTCAATTTTCTTTTGATTGTCACCAATCCAGTTTTTTTGTGTAATATAATAAGGACATGCCAGGTTTGGTGGTGGAGGAAGGCCGGAATTCCGGAGAAAAACCAAGACTTATGGCCAGTATCTGGCGCTGCCCCACCATCATATGTAAAGTTACAGACTTTAGTCTGCTTTCAATTGCTCATAATATTTCATTTTATACCAGTAAATGCTCAGAAATGATCAAAACAAGAGGCCATATGCGGCTGTAGTGCACAGCTGTTACTCACCTGCGACTTAAAAAAGACAGCAAGATGTCAAAATATTTTTGTAATGATTCAAGAATAAACAAGAATTCAATCGGAGTTGATGTGTCGCCTGCTCAGTGGTTTTAGTGTGGAAAGTGTTTTGGCTTGAGTTATCGCGTAAACAAGGAAAAAATAATGGCAAAAACGATGAACAGCATTGCCATGTCCAGTGTGATATGACAAAAAGCAGAAAGTTAAAACTTGACAGAAAAACCTGTAAACGATGTTGAACATTATTGCTTCTAGCATTACCATACAAAATTAGAAAGAAATTGATTTCAAAAATATAAAAGTTCTTGCATTTACTACCCAATGCCCTTATGTGGTAACAAAAGAGGCATAACTCCACCAAAATTGCATAAAAACTTCTGAATTGCAAACTCAACCGAGTTATATTGATATGCGATATGTGTACCAAGTTTGATTTAAATCAATCCAAGGGAACTCAAGTTATAACACGGAAACCTTGTTTCAGATGACACAACTGATGCCGCCGCCAACAAAGTAATACCTATATGTTGCCTCGCTTTGCAGGCAACACAAACAGCATTTCGAAATTTTTAACGAAAACACTAGACATTTCACACAAACACTCACCCCTTTTGAAATGCTTCCTCTTCTTTAGAATTCTGTTTAGTTGGTTGTTTGTCTGGAACCTCTTTGCTTGAATCAAGAATGGATGGAGAAAGTTTGAATGGATTGTCAAACTAACCACTATAATGTATCACTTGCAATATCCTTTCCCAGCCACAAATTATACTCTGAGGTTAGAGGTTTTTTTTTGTTTCACTGTTTTATGAGCCATAATCATTACAGTAAATAAGAGGTAACTAGAAATTTGTTTTTGTGAACAAAAGCTTATGTCTCCCCTAATTAGCCAATATGCATATTTGGAAGAATAGGGCCTAGACCGGTTTTAGAATGCGACACTCCTACTTCCTAAGAAACATAACTATAGCAAGTTTGGTCAACAAAGGTTAAATGACATGGAAGTTTTGCCGTGGACAAACTTCGGTATTGAAAATAAACAAACTTCTGTATTAGAAATAAACAAAGGGCCATAACTCTGTATAAAGTAGGGCATGAAACCTAGTTCTAGTGCACTGCACACCTTCTGTGGTTGATGCAGGTATACTTAAAGTTTGATCAAGATATCTTTAATAGTTTAAAATTTAACAGACAGACAATAATTTACTGAAAATGTTGCACTAATTAGACTTTTGACCTAGAGATGAATGTCACAGTGACCTCATTCCAGTGCACTGCACACCTACTGTGTGTGATGCAGGCATACTTCAAGATTCATCAAGATATCTTTAAAGGTTTAAAATGTATGGCCCAGACAAGTTGCAATCAGAAGTACCGGAAGAAAAACCAGAAGAAGAACCAGTACTAATACAATGTCTCTCTTCATTTGAAGGGGAGACATAATTATTCAGGAATATTCTGTGTGAAAGTTATAGGATGATTATCATATGAGCCGTCCAGAATGCCTCGAGTCTTAGCTGTATGTAGCCACAAAATATTACTGTAAACATACATATTCTAGTGGTGGTCTAATTTTAGCACCTTTCACTTTTTAAATATCAGGCTAAATGATGAATTTGCCAATTGAAGTTCTTGTAAATAGTTCTCTATGGCATATTTTATTGATTAACAAAATATGTAGAGCCAACATCTTGCTCCGAGAGTGGATACTAGAATGTATGCAGGGCGATTGGTATCAAATATGTAAATATAATAGGCGGGGTTTCCAATCACAACACAGCTAAGGCGTTACCAGTTAGTGGGGTTAACCCTTTCACCCCTATGTAACTTAGGTAGACTCTACCATGCATTGATATGGATGTGTCTATTATGGTCTAGAGTGGTGAAAGGGTTAAAGCGAGTCTTCACCAGGACAGCATGCTATATAATACAAAATATCCCACAAGGTTCTCTCAGGGGGGCTCATTTTTATTTTGTGGCGTCATACATAATGGACATTCTATGACATTAGTTAAAAAGGCCAAGGGCAGGTAAAAATTACCTGTCTTATTTAACTTTTAACAAATGTCAATACCTGTAAATAAATATAAAACATGTTCATGTGATGTGAGATAGTGCAATAAAGCTTATTAAAGATCAAAGTCTGTTTTACGATTGTTCATTTCCAACTCATCTTGGCACAGGGCGTGCGTTGATGCCGATACGTACACTAGGTTCTTATAGTCCTTTTTTTCTGCCTCTTCACTCTTGCTTGATGTGGAGCTTGATGAGTCTCAGGGGATATAAGACTTGCTTTAGGAGTCGAAACTAGTCAGCCAATAAAAACCCACTAACTGGTGACACATGAGCTATGTTGTGTTTAGAGCTCCGCCTATTATATTTTATTGATGCGCCAGTTCATAAATGCGCTAATCTATAATTGGTAATGCGCTAAAATTTGAGTTTGCAAAAAATATTTATGTTCGCAGTATTTCATTTTTATGTTTAATCCTTTGGATCTATCAATCATTTTTGGAGACCTATATTCATCTGGCTTTACAAAACTGACTGATCAATATCCCAAGACTCTGATCACCTCTGTAGAGTCCTAAAGACTGACCAATTCTGTCTGTACCTAGGTACATACTGACCTCTCAGTTGAGTTCTCTCTCGACTTTGGAGGCGTGCCACTGACGGAGGCTTGTTTTCCTAGGGTGAGAGAGCTTCGCCGGAAGGTGTCAGTCACTGCGTTCTTCATGGCCATGGAAGCCACAGCACACTGGAATCGGGATTTGGGATCCTGTACAGTAAAACTATAGTTAATATTTGTAGGTGTCGGTGGATACGAGAATTGGACCGTAATGGTAAACTTTTGTACCTGGAGACTTTATATATAACCTATAAACTTGACTTATATTATAAGTCAAGTTTAATACAAAAAAAACCCCACCATGATATTTTATATATAAGCAATTTTGTTTGTTAATCCTACATTTTAAACGAGGCTACGTTTTTTTTTTACCATCTGATGCCCATTACATAAACTTTTGTAATATTCAAAACAGATTAAGATCTATAACTACCTGGTATAAGGAATATTATTGTAGTATTCAACAATGGTCAAAATTACAGGTCAATATTTTTAACTATAATGTGTATCTTGTAAAATTCAACAAATGTCAAAACTTCTAATTCAACAAATGTCAAAACTTCTAACTACCCAGTATAAGGCATACCGGTATCTTGTAATGCTCCACAAAGGTAAAGATTTCAAACTATAAGGCATACTACCCCATCAAGGTAGAAAGAGCACAAAGATTCTACCCTACTGTGAAATCAAGGGACACATTCATGACGACTTTTCCTAAACCAATCTACACAATACACATGCCTTTTCTTCGCTGCTTCACTGAAATATAACCTGGGATCAAAAACAACCACTGATATATAAACAACAAATTAGCCAACAGACTAGCTAAGATCACTTCAGCTAGCGGACTAAAAACGTCACTGCAGCGGTATTGGCCAACAACTTACTAAAACAAAACTGAAAGCATTTTAAATTACAAAGGAAAGTCCTTAATCAGGGTTTTAAAGCAATCTTACACCATGGGTTGAATTTTGGCAATATATTGAATTGATTATGCATTAATGTTGGAACTTTTCAATTTGTGCCATGTTGTATTATCATGACCATAGGCCTCTTCCCTACCAAAAAGAAGTAATACCTCACCCTTGATCAAGCTACAGAACAAATATCATTAGGACTGCAACACTTCTTACACTTTCAGTATGGCTTTCATTGACTAGAAGGGGAATGTCAATTAGGGCGGGTCAAAGTTCAGCATAGCTTTAAAAGCAAATATCAAACAAAGGGAATAAAGAGGGAGCAAAGAAATGTTATTTATGGAGGGAGTCAACAATGAAATTATTTCAACTTTATTCGAAATAGGAAAACAGCACACAAACATTACTTAACAAGAGGCCCATGGGCCTTAACGGTCACCTGATATATTTATACAGAGAGTTGATTTTGTTTTTAACATGAACAGAAATATTATTCAAAGTGACAAAAAACAATAAAACCACCTTTTTCAATATCTAGCATACACATTTAAGACTAAAAGGTATTTGAAACTAGCACCTCCGATTCTAAACAAGGAAAATGAAGAAATTTTAGCACACTGACTCTTTTGGGCCCCACCCTACAGCCCTTGGGGTAGGGCTGGCTCAAAATTTTCAAAGTATCAAACTGTCAACTCAGGGTTATAATTCCAATCAAGTTATTAGCATGTAATATTCAAAGTATCATTTGCCATTATAAACCATAATAAATGTTGCCCCCCCCCCCTCTCCCTCCTTCCCCCCGTGGGGTAAACGTGAGACCCTAGGGTCATAAACCTTAAGACCCTTCCATCTATGAAGAGTGTTTAATTCTACCATATCTGGGTCTTNTCCAATGGAAATTAAACAAATGTTGGTCCAAAATGTGATTTCCCTATATAAACTATAGTAAAGTTTACCCCCTCCCCAGGGGGAAACGTGAGACCCCAGGGTCAAGAAATTCACAACTTTGGTAAAGCACCTAAGACCCTTCCATCTATGAAGAGTATTTGATTCTACCATATCTGGGTTTTGAGAAGAAGATTTTTGAAATTTTAGTCAATTTGACTCCGCTCCTCAGGCCCCTGGGGGCTGGGGACCAAACCGGCCACTATTTTTGTTGACCTTTGGCCATGGAAGGTTTCTGCCAAAATTTCATTGAAATTGGTTCAGGGGTTTTGGAGAAGAAGTCGAAAATGTAAATTGTTTACGGAAACGCCGGATGATGGATGACGCTGGACAAAAGGTGATCGCAATAGGTCACTTGAGACTTTGTCTCAGGTGACCTAATGACTGGGAAAACTTCATTGAAAGAAGGCATACCTGGAAACCAGACTTTTTTGTATACAATCAAATTTGAGACAAGTTAAGCCTCATTAATCAAGCCACTAATAAGCTGATTGTACCACTATCCAGCCAGTGATTTAGGAGACAGAGAAGTGTTTTTTTTTATACAGAATAGTCCCAGTAATTCAGCTGTATCACATTCTTGCCAGTTTTGCTGGGGAAAAAGGTGAATGGATTATCAGGGCTCCATACTTTTCCCTTTTTTAAAGTCCAATCTAAAGTCACCACTGTAGACCATAATGGACTCATCTAGATCAATGCATGGAAGAGTCTACTAAAGTTATAAAGGGTTGAAATGGTTAAGGACCAAATCCCCTAGTTATCAGAACATCCATCACAGTCTGGTCTCATTAAAATTTAATTATTCATTCCCCAAGAAGTTTGTTTGATAAGACTATTTATTTTACGATACTTGGCCATTTAATTACAGCCCCTATGAGTTGTATTGTGAGTTGTATGTTCACAGCTCGATTAACTTATCAATGAGTAAACATAAAATGTTCATTTAAAGAATGTCAAAATTCACTGTCTGAACTACATGTTGATATGAGTTCATATATTTTGATTTTCTTTTCAAGTTTACAGTAAAATACCCCTTAAACTTATAAAATGTTTAATAGCTACACCTAGGTCATGCAATTAAAGGTCACTGAGAGTTCAATAAAGGTCAATTAAAGGTATGCTGTCCCACACAAAGTGATTAGATCTTGCTTAACAATGGGGAATAGTCGATTGTACAATCTTATCTCCATTTAATGGTATTGTATAACATTTCCAGATCAGGACACAATGAATAGCCACAATACATAAACACATCTAGAAAATACACAGATATATAAACATCAAACATCTTGTCCTTACAGAGAAAACTTACCTGGCATTCTTGATGAACACTTGAAATCTAAGTTTTGGTAATACATTTTTTTTCATCAAGACTCTAACATCATTTTTTAACCATCAGCTATTTTAAATATTTTGTTGGAGAAAAATGAAAGCATTGTACTACATTCATGCAGCATTCTGATTTCCATTGATACATGCTACATTGATCTCAGCCATTCATTAGGGAAATCATGCCTAATTTCATTATGCTTTTAACTAAGTGCACCCTCAGTGCCGCTACATGTGTTTTCATAACTGACCATAGGTCACTTGGAGCTGCATGTAAATGACCATCTTTCACTGAACATTGACCATATCTGACCATCAGCCTGTGGCTACTGACCAGAATAGATGGCTGTGCATGAAATTCTCACCTCTGTGTCTGGCGAGTCTTTCCTTGGCCAAGTTGGTTGCTTGCATTCCAATGACATAGTAGAAGCATCCTATCGAGACATGCCAAGATTGTATACATTACTACATCTAGCAGTCAAGTGAGCTGGCCAAAGCTGAAAGTTGTGTCTCCTCAGTCTCGGATATGTGGCCAAACTTCCAGTAACAGGGGATATTTTAACTAGATTTAACGCTAATGTCTCCCTTAAATGTATGTCACTGTCACTATCTGGAACGTTTTTGAACTTAAAAATAACTCATACTCAATATCAATTGTAGCAGTTTAAGAGAGAAAAATACAAAATGGAATTTTATGAACAATGCAGCATGGTAGAGATTGGCTTGAGAAAAGTAGAAAGAATTCATTCAGACCAGAAAAAATGTTTGTTAAATATATTATAGGTGTGCATTGGTGCATAAAAAACAACATAAAATTAAATAAAACTTTTACAAATTGACCTTGACCTTTGAACTTTAGTCAGAGCAGTTTATATACTAGGACGATTTTTGATCATATCGATTACATTAACATTTGTGTTGAAGAGAACGATTTATCGACTGATAACGGTATTGAGGTGTTTTACCTCATTTGTAAATACTGTGAAAACCTTTATGTTACCTTTTCATTCAACTACGCAATGTAATAGAGAGTTTACATCAGTCCCTTCTAGGCAAAGTAACAGGGAATATTTTAAAACTTATCTTTCAAAACTAATTCCTGCTAATTATAAAACAAGAGGCCAAGAGGGCCTTTATCGCTCACCTGAATATAATTAAAGTAATTGGTATGAAGTAAAGATATAGCACTCCATGGTAGGTGCTGTTAGTACATATGAAATTTCAGAAAGATCCATCCAGTACTTGAGATATAGAGAACAAACTTCAAACAGAGCCCAACCCCTATGCCCCTACGGGGGTCATACCCACCAATTATACAAAAATGAGTCACCATCACCCAAGGATGCTCCACACTAAATAAGGATAAAATCCCTTAATCCCGATGGTCGGAGAAGGATTTTAAAGGTTTTACCTCTATTTTTCCTATTGGACCCCACCCTTCTGCCCCCCTCGGAGACCACACCTAATGCTGATACAAAATTGAGTCCCCTTGGCCCAAGGATGCTCCAGACTAAATTAGGATAAAATCCCTTAATCCCTATGGTAGAAGAAGGATTTTAAAGGTTTTACCTTTATTTTTCCTATTGGGCCCCACCTCTCTGCCTACAGCGGGGTCAGACACACCGTTTATAAAAGATTGGTTCCCCTTCATCCAAGAATGCTTCAGACCAAATATGGACAAAATCCTGTCATTCCTACCGAAGAAGAAGGATTTTGAAGATTTACGTCTATTTCCTCCATTGGGCCCCATTCCTCAGGTCCCAGGGGGGCCACACCCACCAATTATACAAAATTGGTTCCCCACTACCCAATGATGCTCCACACCAAATATGGACCAAATCCTTTCATTCCTACAGAAGAAGAAGGATTTTAAAGAGTTTGCTATATTTCCCCTATTGGGCCCCGCCCCTAAGCCCCCAGGAGGGCCAGACCCACCATTTATACAAACTTTGTTCCCCTTTGCCCAAGGATGCTTCTCACCAGATATGGACCAAATCCTTTCATTCCTACAGAAGAAGAAGGATTTTAAAGAATAATTTGCTATGTTTCCCCTACTGGGCCCCATGGCTCAGGCACCTGGGGGGCCAGATCCACGGTGTATACAAAATTGGTTCCCCTTCACCCAAGAATGCTTCAGACCAAATATAGAACAAATCCTTTCATTCCTACAGAAGAAGAAGGATTTTAAAGAGTTTGCTATATTTCCCCTATGGGGCCCCGCCCCTAAGCCCCCAGGAGGGCCAGACCCACCATTTATACAAACTTTGTACCCCTTCCCCCAAGGATGCTTTTGACTAAATATGGAACAAATCCTTTCATTCCTACAGAAGAAGAAGGATTTTAAAGAATAATTTGCTATGTTTCCCCTACTGGGCCCCATGGCTCAGGCACCTGGGGGGCCAGATCCACGGTGTATACAAAATTGGTTCCCCTTCACCCAAGAATGCTTCAGACCAAATATAGAACAAATCCTTTCATTCCTACAGAAGAAGAAGGATTTTAAAGAATTTGCTATATTCCCCCTATTGGGCCCGCCCCTCAGCCCCCAGGGGGGCCAGATCCACCATTTGTTTGATATATCAATTATATTCTAACAAAATGAATATACAAACTTTGTTCCCCTTCCCCCAAGGATGCTTCTGACCAAATATGGACCAAATCCTTTCATTCCTACAGAAGAAGAAGGATTTTAAAGAATAATATACTTTATTTCCCCTATTTGGCCCGCCCCTCAGGCCTCTGGGGAGCCAGACCCACCATTTATACAAAATTGGTTTTTCTTCACCCAAGGATGCTCCACACCAAATTTTGTTAAAATCCGCTAAGTGGTTCATGACTAGTAGTGTAAAGTTGACGGATGACGGACGCTGCGGTATGGCATAAGCTCACCTTGGTCCTTCGGACCAGGTGAGCTAAAAACTATTGTTCGATTACGTTTATTATTGCATTGTCTTCTTATCGAATGAGGCAGACACAGAAATGTTCCACGTCAGCTTCGAACTTGCCCTGTGTGTCTTAATAACATCGAGGACGAATACCATTTCATGTTAAAATGCCCCTTGTATAATGATTTGAGAACCAAATATATTAAGCCCTATTATCGAATAAATCCCTCCGTCTTTAAATTAGTTATATTTCTATACGAAAAAATTGTGTAATTTAGGAAAATTTGTCCATCAAGCAAACATGTTACGAGTTAATGATTTAGTAGATAGTTAAATGTTGTATTAATGGAATGGCCCTGGAAATATTTGTTGTAATTAAGTTTAATGCAAAGGTTGTATCTATAAACTGTATCAGTTTACTATCAATAAAGAATTACGAATATACAGCAAATTTGTTGACAAAATCTCTGGTTTAGTCTCAAAGATGATACGCTGAATTCTTTTGGCATAGTTAAGAACAGTACAAAGTTTGACAGTAAAGTCTATTCATCACTTAATGACAGAATCAAATCATGAGGCCTTGTGACAGATAGTACATTATATCAACCCTGTTCTATTTTTAGCAAGAGTGACCTTGACCAGTGTCCATCTTGGATTTAGGGATCCAGGTTACATGGTATTATTTAGTAAGGATATCTACAAAAAAACATTGCCTCAAAATTAACACCTTTGGGTCAGAAAGGGCAAAACAACATATTTGTGATGATATAGCCCCTTGGATAAGGGGCAGATCACTCTCCTCGCCACTTTTTATTTTCAGTAACAGTGACCTTGACCTTTGTATTAGGACCCCTATTACACATCAACAAATCACAGTGTATAGGGGTGTGACATTTCAGAAAATTTAAACTGAATGACTCTTAACCCTTTCACCACTATAGACCATATTGGACTCACCCAGATCAATGCATGGTAGAGTTTATTGAGGTTATATAGGGGTGAAAGGGTTAAGATCATCTCTGGAATCTAATGTGTGGACACACAGATTTATTACTTACTAAGCTGAAGAAGGAAAACAGGACAGGTTTCCAAACGCTACCAGAGAGTGGTATTGTATTGAGAGACATCATTTAAACATACATTTACCAACATTTGTTTAGTCTTAAAAGTACCTAGCTAAGTTGATGGATCCACATAAAGTATATAAGGAGATCTGACCAATCACAGACAAGGATACAGAGAAGTGGCCAATCACAGACAAGGAGACAACAACTACAACAGTTTTGGCACAGGAAGAGGTCAAAGTTCACAGAAATATATTAACATGAGAAATAAATAAGTATATATATTATGTAAGAAAAAAAATGTAAAATGCATGTTTTAATAAAGAATAGAATACATAGAGTAAAAATATGATAATTGGTGATGAATTTTAATAAGAATTTTCTGAAACTTGCATCTACAATAAATATCTACTGAAGTAGAATGATACATGCTAAAGCTGCCACAAGACACAGCCATTGTAAAAAATATTTTGTAAACCGTGACCCCTTTTCAAAAACCAGAAAAATTAGTGAAATTCCATGGAAACAGTATTGTGTTATATAGATATATTAAAGATATGAAATACTTTAGATGATAATCCTCATCCTAAAATTCCATAAAATAAAATAAAATCCAACAGAAGCTGAATATTTTCACATGGTAATGCGAACATTAGATTGTTCATAAACATGTGTGTGTGAACTAATGCTACAGAACACAGCAAAAAGTGGATTTGTTACAGAATCAAGCCTTACTCTCGAACCCAACACTCTGTTTAAAGTCAAGTGTGGATTAACAAGAGAAAGGTAGGATCTGAAGATTACAATATCAAGAAAAAACTATCAATACTGTGGAACCTAGTAATTAGGACTCAAATGGAAAATTGGCTTTCCTTCCGAAAATATTACAGAATCTTTGTTTAAATATTTTACTGTTTTTTTTTACTTTTTTTTTTGTGAACAGTAACTGTCCAAACAAACCAGGTTCTACTGCATCATATAAGCATTAAGAAAAAAATTATCAACAGAAAACTTGATAAGAGGACAATAAATTTGACTGAATAAATTTTAGGCAATACCATGGATGTTGAGTGGGTGAAGGATGGTACACCTGTTCCTCCCAGTGCTCGGGGTATGGCCACCTCACTGACACGACGTCCCTTCATCTGTAACAACACATCAAACTATTGGTAAGAATATTTGTAATTTAATTCCTTAATGTTTATCTATATATAACAAAAGACAAGACCTTTTATGATGCAAAAATTTGGGGCTAAAAGATTGCTTCAGGGGAACTCTGACATAGTAAATTTCAATGAGATATGAGTTTACATATGAAATTTGCATTCATTTTCAGCCCTTGTATTCTGTCCCCTGTACAAAATATGGAAATGTTGTTTACCTGAAAATAATCCATAAATAAATGCATAGTTTCATCTGCTGTTGATGGCTTGTCCACAAGATTGTGAATGATTTTTATGAAAAAACAAGGTAAAAAGGTATTTGGTTTATTCTGGCTAATAACCATGAATGAAGATAAATGACACAAGGAAGGTAATAAATTTATCACTTATGGTTTTCCTGTAGGGATACCTGAAAGTTACACCTGCATCTTGACAACTTTTTAAAATTTCTATGGGGGAGATTCTGTATGCTCAAAATTAAAACATAAATAAAACGTGTGTATTACCCCCTAGAGACAAAATAACCCTATAAATGACTTATCTTGAGTTGTTCTTTCAAATAAAATAATTAGATCTTTAGAATATAGGAATAGTTTAGTAAATTCACTGGTTGAAAATGTTAAATTTAAGGGTTCAAAATCGGGAATCTCCATCCTAAATAGGAAGATTTGGCAAGTATGCACCTGTTAATATAATTTACTTCCTCTACACATTTTCCCTGAAGTACAATGTCATTTAATTCATACTAAATAACTATTCATGCTTCTGCTAGGATTTAAATATACATTTCAATATTTTTTTTACAAACTTATTAATTTTTGCTATTAGGCTCACTGGTGAATTTGTATCTCCCATGTGAATTTTAAATTCAACAGATCATTAATATCAGTACTGAAATAGCATCCTCCTAATCACAAAATAGAATAGTCACCAATAAAAGCCACAAGCATAGCTTAACTCATTCACCCCTACATTTTTAAAATGGACTTGCCCAGTCTTTGATTTGGTAAGGTTCATATATGACTTTAGGGGTTAATGGGTTAAGAAATACACTACATGCTAAGAAATATGATTTATAGTAATCTCCATTTGTAATTCACTTCAGGTTAATTTACTTTTAAAGCCCCTGGCTGTATTACTCCCTGTGTCTAATTTGTGAATCCTAGTATTCAAAATTAAAACCTATACTCACAATTTGAGCTTAATTAAGGTACATGTAACTATTAAGTGATCTGCTGCTAACTGAACTTGAAAGTCACTTAAGATTATAATTAAATGTAAAACTGTGATAACGTACCCGTGACTGGAACCCTTGGCCTTGCTGTGAGAGGGACAAAGATCGTTTACTCATGTGTGGAAAATCACCTGTAAAATCATCAACAAAAGATTATTTTAAAGATAAATATTACATATTTTATTCCTTAGCTTACGAAAAATATACATGGATGAACTTAAATCAGAAAAAAGCTATGGACCTATACATCTTAATACTTCTGAACAATTTGACATCCAAATGTAATACACACTTCAAAGGGGTTAGTTATGTGTTACACATGTATCTGCGAGATTATCTAGTCTCCTTTTGGCCTCTTTTAATGTAATTCTCAGGACTAGGCCTCATTACAAGTTTGTTAATTTCATGAATGAATTGCTACTCTTATGTCATTTCTATGAGAGCTTTAGTTCCTGTTCCATAAACATATAAATCAATTTTATACAAGACAAATAAACCTTGCTACATCACAGCGGGTCAAGATAATCTGTCCAATGCTAATACCTGTTATAGTTTTATACAGCCATCAAATGCACATATACTTATAAAATGTGTACTTATAGATATTTAAGTGCTCTAGGCAAATTGGCATTTCCATGATTACATAACAGATGATACATTCAGCTTACCTATCTCTAAACCAGCACTTCCGAAAGGACGACTGTCTTGTAACAATTTTCTGAAAGAAAAAGAGAGATCACAGTTAAAAGTGTTGCTTGGAAAGAAACAAGATTTGCTGGAATGGGTCAGTATTTTTCAAGCACTGACCCATTCCAGCACTTTTCAGGACATGTACAAGTCAATTTCAAATCAAAATACCCAATAATCTTAAATTAGGAAGTAAGAAGTAGAAGGCCAAATGGTGTTCAACTATGAACTACTGTTGCATCATTTCATAAAATCCCTTCATGGAATATGAAATTTGAATTTCAAAATGGCATACAACAGAATTGTCACTCCTTACCTAGCCTCTTCCAGTTCTGAGTTGACCCGTTCATGCACCATACGTATTGTATCTACATGTGTAATCATTATTTCTATTGCTTTGCTCATCCTCTTCTCCTACAAAATATCAAAACACACATGTTACTTTTTATATAAATTTCACAGACAAGATGCATTCCATTGTATAAGTCCTCAACTATGTGTTTGTATGGAAAGCTAGGTAGCATTTCTCAAAGCTATAATTAGGGAATGCAATATATTTCTTAACTCATTCACCACTGAAGACACATTTGAACCCTTCCAATTCAATGGTTGGAATAGATCATTATAAAATTTCAGAAATGAGTTAAAATAACTCCTTTTCCTGATTAGGAATTAGTTATGTTGAAAGCAGAGCAGAAAAACAAAGAAATAAAAAGGGAAAAAAAGGAGAAAAAATTCAGTTACAATCATGGTTGGTTTAGGCCAGTCCTTTTGACAACAGAAATCAAACAACATCTACCAAATATGTATCTACCAAGTTTGAAAATCCTGTGTTTTATCGTGACAAAATATGCACAAGACAGATCCTCATACATTGTAGGTCACAGTGACCTGGGTTTGGCACGTGACACTTATCCTCTAAGAGATGTAATTGCATACCAAAGTTTATTGAACTAGCTATAGCATCATATGGTTAGTTAACCAAAGGTACTTAAATATGTTATATTGCAAATTTTTGATGACTAAAACAATTTGCTCCACACTCTATGCAGCGGTTTGATTGTCACTGAGCCACCCGAGCATTGTCCTGTTCTATCTAATGTGGGGTGGGGTGCCAGGTAAAAGTTACAACAGACAATTAATGTTTTCATATTGATCATATATTCATATAAATGTAGTGGAACTGGACTGGGTCGATCTGCAACGAACTCCAGTCTGGCCGTTGCATTCTTCCTCTCCTATTTCATAAGTAAACAAAACAAAATTATCCAGTATTCCTTATTCAAACAGGATTGCTTAATTCCATTGCTTCTGTTTACTGTCAAAACAGTTGGTGTTTTCCTTGTTACTTCTATCTGTGTTTTATCCTATCACAAGTACAATCAATCCAGTTGTCATGCCTACCTGTTGTACTGCCCCGTACACCTCTGCTCGACTGGACACCCGAGCTGCGGCTTGTTCGAGGATATCTAGGTGTGTCTGTATTTTCCGGAGGACATCGCGGACCTGTGTGTCTGTGCATAACTGGTTAAGGGTCTGTAGAACAAGCAGAAACCTCAGATGAATATCTGTATTAATCCAGCAATAAGTCCATGCCTGGTAATAAGCCTGCATGTATATATCTTGAATAGTTCAACAGAAATTTAGGGCTTTTAATTTAATTTTCCTGACATACTCGGAGTCAGAAATTATGTGCTGGCCCCTTGGAATTACGACACAGTATATATGGAACACCCGACTTGTGTATAATTTGGGGACCAGCCATTTTACATAGTTATGTCTTGAAACAATATAAATTCAACACTGGCAAACACCTTACACCTCCTTATTCATTATTTGCTTTTAGGGACTCAAATAATATAGAGAAATAAATATTAATCATTATTTCACAATATTCCATTTTGTAAACTCATAATGAAGCTAAATTTCCATTTGTCCTCAGCTTACCTCTAGGTTGTCTTTGAGTCCTTTTAGTTCTGTGTCCACGTTCTGCTCCGCAATGTCTCGTGACCTTTCCTGGATTTCCAGGCGCTTTTCCAAGGTTAACTTGTCAGTCTTGAAAGCTAAGGACAGACTTGTGAATTTTTTCTGAAATGAGGCAAAAAGAATTTTTTTAATTTTGTTTTTGGAAATGAACATTGTCTGTAATATACAATATTACAGACAAACAAATACTAACATTCTGCAATGAATCATTTACAGGTGTTTCATAAAAAACTTTGATAAATAGTTACAGGCTTGTTAACTCATTCACCTCTGAAGACACATTTGAACTCTTCCAATTCAAGGGTTTAAATAGTTCATTATGAAAGGACTATGTATGGTTTGGGCGTGTTTTGGCCCCCGAATGCATCAAAATTCAAAACCTTTAAATGACTTTGAAATGACTGTTTATTTTATTTTAAATTCTTCCCAAACACTGTCATGGAAATATTTATTTGTATTTCTAATAATTGTTATCATGGTAACTAGTTCAAAATTGCATAAATTAGAAAAATTGAATATTCAGTGAATTTTGTCATATTTTGCATAGTTTTTCTCGTGGAAACTGTAAAGCGCATGCTTGAACAAACTCAAAATCAAAGAATAATGTGTAGGCACCTGTAATATATCTTTAGGAGAAATATAAAGTTTGTTTAAGAGTATGCTCTATGGTAACTAAGAGAAAAACTAGGCAAAAACCTGTCAAAATTTACTGAATATTTAAATTTCATTAATTTATACAAATATTAACTGGTTACCATGGCAGCCATAATTGAAAACCTAAATAAATGTTTACATAATAGCACCAGGGAAGTATTCAAAATTAAAGAAACACTCATTTGAAAGGTTTATTGAAGATTTTTAATTTTGATGGATTTGGGCAGGGACAGTATATAGAGGGGATTGGCAACTCTGCCCCAGTCAAGATTCTATAGCACGTCGCTTTTGTGTTTGTTCACCAAACCGCAAAGTCATCGAGAGCCCCTTCTCGATCAGCCCGCGCTTGCGCACTAGCGTTAAAATTAAGCACGCNCATTTTATGTATGGTTACGGGGTAGGGATCTCAACGGTTTCCAAGCTGTGATTCAGACACTAGTTCCTTAGGGTTGTGGCCAGACCCCAGGATCAATTCTAATATCATGACTGCATTCGTCTCTTTATGCCCAGCATTTGTATTTATAGTTTTGGAGTGGGGATCTCAACCGTTTCAAAGTTATGACCCACAGGTTAAGTTTGCAAGGGTGGGGCAGACCTGGGGTCAATTCTTATATCATGACTGCATTCATCTCGTTATGCCCAACAATTGTATATAGTTTTGGGATGGGAATCTTAACCTTTTCAAAGTTATGACACAGGGGATAATTCTCCAAGGGTGGGGCAGACCCCAAGGCCATCCTAAAAGCGTATGTGCATTCATCACTATATACTCAGCAATTGTATATAGGGTTATAGGGTGGGGATCTCAACTGTTTCCAAGCTGTGACTAAGAAAATAGGTCCCTAGGGGTTCGGTCAGACCCCAGGGTATATTCTTATTTCATGACTACATTCGTTTCTTAATGCCCAGCAATGCTATATATGGTTATGGGGTGGGGATCTCAACTGTTTCAAAGATACAACCCAGAAACTAAGTCCCTAGGGGTGGGGAAAGACCCCAGAGCCTATTTTTACATCATGCTTGTGTTTATCTCTCGATGTCCAGCAATGCTATATATGGTTATCAGGTGGGGATCTCAACAGTTTCAAAGATATAACCCAGAAACTAAGTCCCTAGGGGGGGGGAAAACCCCCAGGGCCTATTTTTACATCATGATTGTGTTTATCTCTTGATGCCCAGCAATACTATAAATGGTTATGGGGTGGGAATCTCAACTGTTTCAAAGATACAACGATCCATAACATACAATATTGACCCCACCCTACCTCTTGACTCCTTGACCCCAGGGCCATACATTTCATAAATTCAAAAGAGGGCTAGTTGATGATTATAATTAAATGTGCCATTACTCTCTACTACTTGTAGGAGTCGAGAAGAAGATTTTTAAAGATGACTCCATTTTTTACCTATTTTGCCCCATCCCTCAGGCGTAGCCCATACATTTTATATATTCAGATCAACATGTCCTAGTGATGTTCCATGTCAAGCTCGGTCAAAATTGGCCCGGTAGTTTTGAAGAAGAAGATTAAAATGTAAAAAGTTGACGGACGACAGACGGCGGACGCTGCGGTATGCCTTAAGCTCACTTGGCCAGGTGAGCTAAAAATGTGTGAAATCGTATCTGATGACAACATTGCATACTGGTAGTGAACAATGTTTCATTGAGATTGATGCAGTTCTTTAGAAGTAGTACAGACAAATCTGTTCCTGCCGATACTCCAGACCACCACCCTATACTTATTTTTGTTGTAGTGGACATAATTGCCGTTTATAGGAAAAGATACATATGTGACAATATGGTAAAATACCTTCTTAACCAGAATAGCCTCAATACTGACAAAAAAACACTTCAAAATTCTTCACTCTAAGTGCAGACATATTAAAGCATTAAGTACTTTGAGTTCTGATATAACAACACATGTATCCAAAAACATATGTCCGGTTTTAGCTCAAGCATACCAGCTGTATTAGTATATCAGGCCAAGGAAAGAAAAATACCTCATGATTTGTTTTTTATCTAAAGTATTGAACGGTGGGCAAAATATTTTACATTTGAAATGTCTATTTATATAAAGTACATTTGAAACAAAATTTTGAAAAGTAAAAACAATAAACAACATTTTGCAGTAAAACTGATGAAATACAGGAAAAGGAAACAACTAGCTATTTGGCCTGGCCTACCACTAAGACTGGAGGATATGGCAGTGCCATCAGCTTTCACAGATTGTATGTAGTGGATTGTTTCTGGTGTACAGTAATTACGATTTATCTTATTTCTGTTTATTTATATCAGCCAGTATACTATTTCACCTAATTTTACTTTGGTGTAGTGTTAAATTCACATTACATAACAAGAAAATGTTGTGGGTACATGTAAATGTTTTTAAAACTAACACATGAGATGCACTCTACAAATAATATGAAGTACAACAAGATTGACACCCAGAGGCCTAGCTCACCTGGATTGATACCAGATCCCTAAACAGCAGGCCTACAGCAAAAGGGCACTTGACCTTTGACCTTGTGCTATTGATCCTTCACTACATATCTATGCAGCTTAAAGGTGTAGAATTATTTATCTAATTTTTCTCCTGTATAACTTATGTAAACATGGCTTGGCCCTATTTGGACTGGCCTTTTCAAACTGCAATATCCCTGACCACTGATGCATGCAGATCTTAACATTTCTGCACCTCAGAAAACTTTGAAAGAAACTTTATACAGGAAATGGGTTTAGTGCAATTTGCTCTGAAAATTGCAACAAGCAAATTGCAACAAAAGTTATGGGTTTACCATTGATTTTCCAGCATTGGTTTAGCAACAACAAAAGCGAGTAGGTGTGGAGAAACTGATATTCTAAATATCCCAGAGTATGTTCTATCCCAAAACACAGCATTCCTTAACACAGACTTAGTGTATACTAACTCAACAGTATGCTGTTAAAAACTGCACCCTTGTTACTCCAATTAGTGATGATATTAAGTGTTGAGAGAATAACAGTTCATCAGCACAAAAAGATAGTGGATTTCTGTATTGCTAGGAGTTCTTTCCATTTTCTTTCCTTTTCAATTCATTCCCCTTTCCAAGAATTGGAGAACTGCAAATTAATGTTGCTGTTGCCAAAACATGCTAAGCCTTGATCATAAAACCAAACTTTCCCAAATAAAACAGCAATTGAAACTCATTGTTACTAGCACTGGGTTATACGTTTGAGACAAATACAATGTAATGATCGCAGAATAAAACTCTATGGGACATATCCACTTGTGGCAGAACTGAATTCTATTAGATGTTCTATTTTAAGGAACAATCTACCAAAGTAGTGGTCCATCACAGAACTTTATACCAGACATGAGAGTGTCTGTAAAAAACCCTCGGTACTGTGGACTGCTGTCAGAACTTGACTGACTACTTAGTGTTTTAGATACCAAGAATTCTAAATTCTGAACACAAACCCTCCAAACTGCACATACTTTGGGGTTGTCCTGACTGACTTGCTTGTCCATGAAGTGTTTTTGGGAACACAGAAATTAAAATGTTGGCACTGAGAGATCTACTCAGAATACAAACACATACATTGTTATCACTTTGACTGTTTTTTTCTATCCCCGAGGTGTTTGAGGTACCTGGAAAGCTTACACTAAAGTTAAACCTTCACCTGCACATAAAATGGCATCTACCTGACCAACTCTCCTAGGCCGGCAGGACCGAGATAGATAATGCTTTTTGTGTCAAGTGGACACATTTACATTCCATATAAACATGGTTTAACTACCCAGAAACCTGACTATTTGTACAACTTGCACGATATACAACAAACACCAGCTCTGACAGGGTAAGTATAAAAGCACACTGTATATCAATACCCTGATGATAACATTTTTTAATCAGTAATTTTATGGGTTTTTTCTCTTGATTTTCAAGAACATATATAAGCCAGCCATATTTTCATTCACTTAAAAAAATATAGGTCACAGTAACCTAAGATTGATCCAGGACTATGAAAATAATTACCATGTATAATATCCCCTTGAAAAATTTCTAATTCTTTTGCCCTATTCCACAAAAAAGTTCAAAGATGGATGAATCAGTTGCCAATGGAAAAGTGAGCGTTTAGAACCTCCTTTACAACTAAAACAATGCTGTGGTCTTTTGATTGATCTAGGACTAATAAATATAGTATATAATATCCCCTTAAAAAGGGCCAATGCTTTTGCCCTTTTCCTCAAAAATGTTCAAAGAGGAATGAATAAGTTGAAAATATCTCCTTTACAAGTTAAAAAATATTCTTTGGTCTTAAAACAAAAACTATTTCAATCTAACAGAAGGTGTTTTTTGCCATCAACATTTCAAGGTAAAACAAGTGTGGTAAATATCTCTGCCAAGAGTTTTGCTAACAGTCTTACAGAACGTGAGTTACAATCCAAAAGGCTAAATTGTAGTAATCAGACAAAAAGGAAAGGTTGGAACTCAACACATCTTTACATTTAGTAATTAATTCATATCTGGCATCCTACCACATCAGCCTTACACAGGAACACTAATGTAATATAAAGAAATCCTAATTTAACATCTTCTATTCGCTAATATAATATCATTGGTACAAGAATGTCTCTTTCATTTGAAAGGTGAGCTAAAAATTGAATCAGGATAGAAGTTGAATGACAGGATACACAATTAAATAGTCATTTGCTGTAATAGGCTTCAGTTGGGTTGCAAATTCTTCATAATTATTTGGGCTCGACGTAACTTCACATTCACAAAAAGTATACATAATTCAGTCACTTATCATGGGTTGGGGTGTTTGGGGTTCAGGGGATGGGGAGGGAGGGGGTTCTAGATAATATAATGGGGGTTTCTATATCAGAAACCTTTGAGAAAATACTTCATTTTGAAGAAAACTGGAATGTTTGATGGATGTTAAACAAACTCCCCTCCCGATATATCCTTGTGTTTTGCCTGTGTCTGCAATCAAACCGATCCTCCTAGAGTTTATAGAGGTAAGATGTATATTGGCAGGGCTCGACATACGCTACAGATACACAGTTAATTTGCTTTATTCTGACTACAAAAAAAGATGATGCCCTTTAGAGTGATAAAGTTTGAAAGTGATATTTATAAAACCTTCTGGAAGTATCCTGTAATGCATCCTTGATACTCCAGGGGCTACACTCTCTTTTACACTCCTGGAATACGTCATAGCAAAATTAAAGGCATGCGTCTAGCTATTTGATTGCTTTTGGTGTAATGCTCATTTTCCCCTCATAGCAGGAAAACTAAGAAAATTTGGTGAAATTGGTAAAGATAACCTGATCAATCACTAGGCTGATTGATACCTGTCCTTTGAATATTACAGAGGAGTGACACCCAACTTCAAAGCCAGTCAATTTTACCCAACAATTACGCAACAGTGAGATTCTTTTATGTACATCAAAGGATAAAACAAGTCCTCTTGTCTCCTCCTCAAGGTGGTGCAGACTGAGCGTTCCATTTTGCTATTCATTTTAGGGGTGCAGAGAGCGAAAGTGAGCAGAACTGCTGCAATATATATTGAGGATTAGTGTAATGTGACGAGACAGAACTCAGTGTAATACAGAACTGTTTAAACCAAAATTCCAACATAGTCCAATTATTCAAATAGAAACTTTATTTATTTTACAACAATTATGAAACAAGTTATATAACTTATATTATTCACTCTTGTTGTTCCAGATGTTAGCGCGCAAGGGGTTTTAATGTGGGAGGAAACCGGAGTACCTGGAGAAAACCCACTTGGTTGGGCAGGTAACGAAAATACCTTTTCATGTCTGATCGTGAATTGAACCCCAACCACCTTGGTGAAAGGCAAGTGCGCTATCCACTGTGCCAACCAGCCACCCAAAACGACATTGTTCATACTGAATCTATATAATACTAACACCTGTCCAATCTGACGAAAGCATGGCAATGTGTGGTGTTTAGTTCAAACATGATGTATTTCTAGATCATTGCACAAACAATTTTATCAAAGGCCCACTCTTAAATGAAGAAATCATTTTCTCACTTGTGTGTTTCTTTACTGAAGGCATATATTTTCATCAGCAAGTAATAACGTTTCTAGTATTAATCAATTTACAATTCAATGCTACAGGTAACAAACTTAGCACGAAGGTCTTATCTGTTGAAGGCAATGTAAAGTGCTATAAATTTTCTGACCTTTTGGTGACATGATCATTTTTTTTCTCTTATCAGTTAAACTAAAAAAAAAAAAGTTAAATGTCAGGAAACTCTATCCATATTCTCTGGAGAAGGTTGACAGCTATAAAGCAATCCATAAACTTACCTAAAAGTAGGTCTAGAACCTTGGGATGTCGTAATTCACCACTATGAAATAACTTACGCAGTTTTAAAATGCTAAATAGATTGTGATGACTTTTACATAAATATCATATCTACAACTCGGGAAATGTGTGAATACTTCTAAAGCCAAAAAAATGGGGAGGTGGATTTATTTTTCTTTTCTCTACATTATAAACAAAAAATAACTTTGCTGAAGACAGGAAAGCTATCATGATTAAAATGTTCTTTTAAAAAAAAAGAAAACCTAGGCTGCTAATATCACTGCTCACAGAAACAATATCCATCCCTTTTTATTAGTATAAAAATTATTGATTTAATTTGTATTCCCCGTCATAACAATGGTTACCTTGAAACAATGGCTACACGGACCCAACACAAGATGTCTGCATTCTGGTTTTTATATACCTGATCGGAAACCATCAACAGAACCCAAAGAACAAAGTGTAATGGATGGATGGATGGATAGATGAACGAATGGATTGATAGATGGATGGATAGATGAGGGACAGACAGCAGTCTTAATGGACACAACTTTGATTTGTTATAGAATAGGAGATCTCACTCACCTCAATTTCCAGTTCACTGGCTTGCTCGGACCTGAAACATACAAAACAGCAGAATATAAATCATCAGCCGATTATGGGAAGGAACATTGAAACGTGAGTCTCAACCAAATTGTTACTTAGCCAAGTTTTAACCCAATGACACTGTCTCAACCAAATGTTACCCCCCCCCACAAACACACACACACAAACACCAGTAAGGAATCTGGACGTTGCAAAAGAAATAATTGTCATCAATATCTCCCTTGATTGGTAATATATATATAAATTCTTTGCTGGAGGTTGACGAGAATTTCACATCCAACCTGATTTGTCTTCCTGCCATTTCTAGCACGACATCCTGTCACAGTACACCTAATACATGCTGTATGGATTGTTATTTTCACCTCACATTTATTCTCAAGTCATTAACAAACGTGGCCTGAATTGAAGATTTTTTTTGTGTTGTTGGTGAATTAAATCATGATGATTAGGAAGCAGCCAGACTCCAACGCAAAGCGGTAACTCACTCATCAATCACATCGCTTTTGATGTAATATTGAATACATTATAAGAAAGCGTTATTAATATAAATGCAATGCGAAGCCTGTTTAATAATATGGATACAGAAATGACTTCTAGAAAAAGAAGATAATTTAGGTCCTGATTGACCTTGACTGTAAGATGAAGATCGAATTGTGACCTTGACCTTAAGATGAAGGTTAAAACAAACTTTGACAGATTGTACACCTCGCCAAACGTGGGGGGGTGGGGGGTGGGGGGTGGAGCTCAATATATCAGCCTGGGACGCAGGTGACATAACAGGTCTGCAAAGCCAGCTAATGTGTTAGTCGTCCTTTTAAAATTAGGCTGACAATTTAGATTTGATAAGTTCATAGACTTAAGATAGTGTTTAAGAACTTGGGCTTAATTCTTAGTAGTTTTGACCAGTTCAATTAATTTTGTATCTTTTTAGTTTTTATTAACAACAATGATATTTTCCCAATTTTTTGTACAGTGAAAAGTTATTAAACTGCTAATATATCAGCTGAAATTTTGACACTATGAAGTGGTTCGGTAATATATCGAGAAGTGTTTAAAGAAATGGAGAAGAAAAAAAGGAACCTTAAAATACTCTGTCAGTAAGTGAGGTGGCAAATGTAATGAAGGGCATTACATTGAGGATTTACTGTACAATTCAAATGCCTTTAACAAGACGTTTTAAAATTCGGTTGAAATGACTGAGAGAACTCAAAATAAGGAGATGATGGACGTCAAAATTATATTGGAAACATTTTGATGGCAAAATGAATATCAGAAACATCTCACAGACATAAATAAGCTGGTATAATCCCCAGCAAGACAGGTGTGATATAGAGGTTGTCACGATATTTTATATACAATACATCTCCAGCACACATGCAGGCATAGAGAGATATTAGCCAGGTGGTATAGGACAAGTAGTTAGCGCCTGATAAGGCAGCTCCTGCGAATTCCTCAAAATTGTATTGATTAATGTATATGCTAATCGTATTCATTGTATTAAATTGTATATCTATATGTACTGTAAAGCGCTTTAGAGTGGCTTATGTTAGCTAGATAGGGCACTATATCACATGTTGTATATTTTATTTTATTCATATAAAGTGACTAAATCACAACACAGTCTTCCTATTTAGTATATCACTTATACAATTTAAATGCACGACTGATACTAGACGGGAATAGAACACATGTATGAAGTTTTTGTTTGGCTATAAAAAACACACCATTAAAACGTTTTTGCTATTTAAAGTTTGGCGATAAATCTGTCTAGTATAAATTTAGTCTGGGAACTTACATTAACTCATTCACCCCTGAAGGCACATTTGAATTCTTCCAATTAAAAGGTTGGAATAGTTCATTATGAAATTTCAGGGGTGAATGGGTTAATTAAACAGAAATGTAAACTCAGGTATTTACATATAGCTGTTACCTTTTGTTGGCTAGTAAATCCCACACCAGGTTGGGTAGACATTTCTTGGACATCTTCATCACATTACAAGGTTCCAAGCTACATGTTTGTACCATTAATTACCCCTCTTCTCTCTCATCAAATTATTCCAATTTTTTTTGTTATATCACTTACAATCCAAGTGTCCAAGTTTTTCTCCACATTTTTTTTTCATCATTTACAAACCAATATTATAGAGTTATTCAAATAACATTGATTACACCAACATTTACAATCCAAGGCTCAAAGCTATTCAAAGATCACCACATTACAATCCAAGGACACAACTTGTTTTTTGCCAAAATTAGAATCCAATGTCACTGAATCACAAAATGTACGAAAACACAAATGTTTTTCTGTCCGACTAACAGTCGAACTTGTCAGACATGCAAATTCTGAAGGGAGTGTTTCGATTTCAGCGCTACTTCTCCACTACAGTGAGCCAGTCCATATCAGGCTTGCCTTAAACGTACACACCATCCTCGCCAACCAAACAATTAATCTTCCACCGACTCCACCTCCAATAAGCATATTTCTAATTTACCGATCGGACAAGAAAATTGTTGGCTACAACAATGCATGAGTAACTGAGTAACAGTATCACAGACTGGCCTGGGTATACAACCACCAGTCACCAACAGATGCTTAGGTGTAAGATCCTGTACACTATATCACAGCTCAGTCAAATCGCCTGCTTTACTCTATTTAGTAGCGCCATCCAAGTACATCTCAATCTCCAGTGTACATACAAAGCTATCTAATTGAGTATTAGAAATTATCTGGATACCTGTTGTCAGCCAAGCATACACCTTTACCGGCTGTGGTATTATGTCTGTAGTATTATACCGCAGTTTTAACTCATTCACCCCTGAAGACACATTTAAACTCTACCAATTCAAAGGATGGAATAGTTCATTATGAAACTTCAGGGGTGAATGAGTTAAGGTGTAATGGGAGTCCATCTGAAAAAGGGAAAAATTCTGGCAACCAGCCAACGAGCTGCATCAGCAGGAAGATAAAAACCCCAAATAGGGGAAGTCATTATACTGGGTACTGGCTTGTCATTATAACTGTAGACAAATCACCTGAGGTCAAGCCACTTATTAAGTGCCATCAAAGACTGACCACATCCATCAAATCACATCATTGCGATACCAGTGATTACCTCTAGACACATATCTGTATAAGCCTCAAAGTTAATTTATCAAGAAAATGAAATGGAAACTTCATTTCCATTTAAAAGGCCTAAAATTAGATTTTGAAAATATTTCACATTTATGTGCAAAAAGGTTAAAACACTTATCTGAAACTTTAAATGGTACACTGATTTTTTTTTTTAAAGTAAATGTATCTGTTCCTGATACATCTGATACAAATGCCACAGGAACTGAATTAGGCCAAAAAAATCTTTTTCCTGTAACAACCCTCATCATATTTCTTTTAAAGTTCTAAACAGCCTGTAGTAACCAGGAAACATACATTTCTGACCTTGGCCTTACAGAATACAGATACAGAAGCTTTATTTTACGTCGAATATTATAAACATACAACATAAGCTACGAAGAGCTTGTATTTCGACAAACTTAAACAGACTTGTTATAGTGTAATCTGTATGCTACACAATCGTCTGTACTTATTGTTGAGCGTTTACATGAATATGCTGGACAGACATGTAAATACATTGATTTTCATTTCTCCCTTCACCCTATTTCCTGTCATTCTGCACGGAAGCAACTAATTGTTTTTTATCAGCAACTGTTGCGACATAAGGAAATATGAAATCAAGATCAAATGTTCACAGTAACAACGAGGCCCATTGGGCCGGTAAGTCACCCTAATCTTTTGCCTCTACAAAGTCAGGGCCTATATTTGGCTGCTTGATCGTCCGAAATAATATTGAACAACACTCGAAGTCAGAATTAGGCTATAATAATCAGTGAATACTGAAGCACTGAAACATAATACCACTTGAGAAGAACTAGGATAATGATGATGACTAGTCATGATCCCCATAATTTCTAATGTTGAACTTTGACCCTTGTTGTGAGTGTGGCCCTTTTTTTCAGGATCATTATTTCACTTATCTTGAAAGCACATCCTTTAACCTTAAAATACTTAAGCTCTGACTTCAAAAAAAAAAATGTTGACAGGTTCTGTTCTGGCCTGTTTAAATTAAGACCACTTTCACATTTTAATTCATAACTATTTACTATTCATTTTCAGTGATCAGGCTCTGCACCACGTAATGTCAACCCATTTTGCCTTTTAGGCCGGCCTGCTCTCGCACAAAATCAAGGATAGTAATTGTCCATCACAAATGGATATTGGACAGACATTATTCCAAAGCACACCATGCACCAACAGCATTGGTGTAACAGCAATGACGTACTCCCTCTTGGGTCAGATCAATCTGAGATCTCTCACCGACAGGTGGCAGATGGTACAACATGATTGATTTCCAACAACACAGAAGAGCAAATCCTATGACCAGTTAGCAGAGTAGATATCTTTTGTTTTAAGGTCAACTTTTCAGTGAAAAATGTTGTATCACTGTGCCACAGTTGGATAGAACAGGATGTACACATCAACTCTTCCATTATCTGAGTTATTGATATTCAGTGAATTCAATCCGACTCCCTGACTGCTCACAATTGGACAGAGAACTGAGGAAGCTACACATCAACTCCTACATTATCTGGGGAATACAATCTGACTTCCTGACTGCTGTCTGACAAATTTGAACATGAACTGTAAATATGATCAAAATATCAGAATACAATGTCACTCTCTGAATATACTCCAACCCTCTGAATACAAGATCACTTTCATTATAAGAACCAAAGGGTAAAATACAATTAGAATCATTTAAATTTCCATTAGTTATATATATTACTACTTAACTGTTGCCTTTCTGTAATAAAACTCAATTTAAAAGACACTTATTGTCAACTTATTGCCGAAAAAAATATATGAACAGGCTGAATATGTAATCAACCTTTTTTTAACAAAGTTCCACTGCCATCCCCCTTACTTACCTGTCTCAAAATGGAATACAACACCCC